TCCCTTTCCCTTCTTTCCCTTTCCCTTTCCCTTTCCCTTTCCCTTTCCCTTTCCCTTTCCCTTTCCCTTTCCCTTTCCTTCCCACACCTTTCCCTCCTCCTTTACCCTACAAGGACATTTTCACTTATTAAGAGCCAATAAAGTCAAGAATCAATATAAAAGAAACAGGAGCATAGAATGATGATTAAGGAGACCTCATACTCAAATCCTGTGGTTGTTTCTTTGTCCTTCTTGATTCTGCTTTGCTCACTCTGTCTGCCTTATGCTGCCTAAGAAATTTTGAGAACAATTTAGATCAGTTCATTCTTATTTTGTCTTTATACTGATCATAAATAGTTTGGAGATTTCTCACTTGTTTATCATTACATACCTGGAACTAACTTGGCTTCTTTTATACTAATAATATTCTGCTTTGTGAATATGAAATGGAAAATATATGCTTGTGTATGGGTCAAAATAAATCAAAGATCAAGTGATGTTTTGGATATCATAAATGAGTTTTTGCATCCAAATTCACCATTGCTTCTACAATATATTCTTCCAGTTACTGGACTCTGGTCATCTTTATCCATATAGACACCACTCCAACCCCAGCCTCAATTTCCTCATACTCATATATTCCTTGTAACCCCTTTTATCCACCTAATCTCTATCATGCAGTTTTTCCTGTCTTAGAACTCAGCATATCACATCATGTAATCCATCTACAAGGGCAGAATTTAATTTGTTTGCATAAATAATGAGAAGCTCTAGGTAGCTGTGATACATGAACTGCCAGAGAATACTACAATACTGATGAAGTTCTGCTAGGTGATGGTGATGATATTATTATATGGGATGTTACTGGATCTCAGCATTTTATAAAAAGTCTTCAAAGGTGGAGATAATTTTTCTGTCTCGGTCTCATATTTCCTGAAAAATGGAGATTCCTGACTGGGCCAATAGTCTTGTTCTCACATCAAGTTCCAAGAGCAGTCAGGAAAACTGAGGAGACTCTTTGTGAAAGAGTCCCATTCCTGCCAGGCAGAAAGTTAAAATTGGAATCTACTTAGAATCCCAACTGAATACTCTCTAACGTGACTGTGTATCACTATAGTTGCTTCATCGTTTTGTCTTGACATATTCGTTTGCCAGGGGTAAAATTACTCATTAGAGAACTAGAAGGTACTAACATTCTGAAAATCTGTTTTACCCTGTGGGATGCCTAGCAGTGCACTACCAAAACTAGATGATCTAGTCTTAATTCAGTACTTAAATACAAAAGTGACCCTTTAGCTCTCAGGTATTCATTTTCTTCAAGTTCCTTTTTTTTTTTTTTTTTTTTTTTTTTTTTTTTTTTTTTTACCATAGACTCGAATATGCCCCAGTTTTCTGAAATACAGTCTGGTATTGGACATCCACTGTCCCTATTTAATGGACATCTCTGCAATTGAAAACTCTAGAAAATAATAGATGCCATATTTATAGTGATGTACAACTTTAAAAAAAATTAGTTTCTTAATACCTTTTGAAAGTACTGACAAATGGCAAAAAACATCTTAATGGCTTAGCTTGACACAGTAAGAGACTAAATTTCTTACACTTCACAACTGAAAAAGCTGCTTAGATTTCCCAGGTTATACTCATGAGCTGTACATATTGTATGCATGTTAAGCTAAGGACTCAATTTTTCAGTCTATATTACTGCAAGTAATTTCTGCTCACTCACGGGGAAAAAAAGAATAGGTATGTTTGTGGAAAAAGAAAGCATTTAGAAATAATTGGGTGTAAAATTCCCACAAGTAAAGCACAGCTGCACACAAACTAATCATAAAAATAAGTCAAGAAAGCAAGTACTAAGTAAATAAGATTTAATTTTTTTCTTTCTTTCATGCAGAGAAACCTTGGAATTTTTTTCTTCATTTTTGTTACCTGCAGCGATGTCACTCATTACTCTTCCTGTTTTATGAAGATTGATTTTCACTCTGCCATCACTCAAATATAAGAGGAATCCACCTGAAGAGTGGTGCAGTTTACTGGATAATAGAAGTCCTTCCTTGTTCCAGGTGCGAAACTGAAAACTGACAAATACTTCGTCTTGCCCTGATGTGCCTGGCAGTGCCAGAAAACTGCTGGAGCTCAGAAATGTAACAGGAACCACCTGTGGCTCTAAACACGAGAAGGACATATTGCCCTAGAAAGAAATAAAACAAATATGGCATTAGGAACAGTCATGAGAACTTCTCCATGGAAACTGTAGAGTTTCAAAACATGGTGCACAGTACTTGAATGTATTAGTCTAAAAATCAAACACGAACATCGCCAATTTGAGAAATGTTAACATAGTTGTCTGACCAGAATAGATTCATCTGCCTGCACAAAGAGTGGCAAGGACCTTTGAGGGAATGACGTAAGATCCTAAATTAGGAGGCTGATTTAATGCTACTTCAGGAGTTAGAAAGACCTGCTTTGTTCCTAGTTTGGCTCAGTCTCAATAAGCATTAGGGACTTGACAAATTCTTCAGTGACAAATAAATGCCATGCAACTGACTGCATGTAAATGATTATGTAGGTCTAAATGCCTGTATGAAGAGAAAAATGAGCTGGCACTCACTGTTTGAGATGGCGTTAAATTTAAGAAAAAAACAATTTCCAAATTAATGCAATTGGAGATGTCCACCAACTCCAGTATTTGTTTTCACAAACAGAAAAATTCCACATATAAACCCTTGCTACTTAAAAATGCACAACACATACTTCTTAAATTAAGAGGGAATATGTTTTCAAGCAGGCCCATATCGACTAGATGATGAGTTGGATTTATGCACCTAGCATTTATTTTGTGCTTACCTTCCTCTGAAATAACTGTTTCTTAGGTAAACTTGTGGCTGAATTCATTGAGAAACTCTGAGAGTAACCTGCATCTGTACTTGTACTTATGCAGATAAGAAATCTGGAATGGGAATAAGGCGTTTTTTGCATCTGATGTCAGAGTTAGTTAACACTTTATGGTGCTTGATAGTAATACATTGGGCACTCTGACCTAATGACTTGCTGACACCATTTGAACTACAACTAATTTGTTCTGCAAAAAGATTAATAAAGAATAATGTTTTTGGAATTTAAAGTACACTTAATTTCTGTTCAACACTAAGAGGTATTAAACTTTTGAGCATACATAAAATTTGATCACACACTAAGTATTTTAAAATTAATTTAAAAAAAAAAATGCTTACTAGTCCCTGGTGTGGCAAAGTATTAAAGTTTATGGGTTTTCATTTTCTTAAAGGAAAATATATAAATAAGTAAAAGCTTTGTCTTATGAACTCAGCTGTATTGAAATGAATAGTCAGCTAAACTGAGACATAGTAAAAAGGTATTCATCAGAATAATAAACCTGGTTAAATCCTAAAAGCTGGCCATTTCCAGATTTCCCCCAGTAAAGTGCCTATTTAACAGGGATTCTTTGGTAACAGAGGTTCTTTCTATAGTATTTACATTATGAAATGTCACCTAAATAGTTTTGAAACTAGCACAATTTAAAACATTTGATATGAAAATAATTAAATTTCTTATTGCAGATAAATTCATAGATCCCTTTCCACTAGTCCACCCAGAGCCTACTATAATTGCCCATTCCCCAGTATTCACAAGCATCATGGACAGAATAATATGCAGAGGTACCAGCTTAGTTAATTTTGGAATATTTCAGGTGAATTTCACATGAGAAGAGATCTTTCTCATCCATTTCATCTATGACAGAGAACCAAATTTGATTCTTCATATTCTGAACAGAAATCCAAATTAAAATATTTGGATCATGAAAGCATTTAATATATTTTTAATTATTCTGAGCTGATTTCTATCATGCTTTTGCATTTCCTGCTACTAAATAAGCACATGTTGCAAACAGAGATGAACCTTGTACTAGGGGAAGAAAAAACTCAAAACCAAGAGGAAAGGACTTAGTAAAATTTCTAGAAAGCCTTTTGTAACACAGAGACATTTTTTTGTTATTGGAACTGTTTTTATAAAAGGTAAAAATTTGGGTGATATGACTGTTGACCATGTCACAATAAATGCATTAAAACTATCAACCTAAACTACAGGTCTTCAGACAAAGGTCAGTATAAACTGAAAAACAGAACTTATCTATCAAAATTATAATATTCTGGACAAAGCAAAGTTGATCAGTGTCCTCAACAATGGATAACTTTTAAAATGCACTGCTGATGTTATTAGCCAGGCACATATTCTTATTACTCTGGTACAAAGCCAATGATTTGATGGTTTCTCATGCATCTTGTTTCTCATTGACTTTTTTCATCCAGTTAGATAGCACACAACACTGATATCAGACACAGCTAAATATCAGCTAAAGACCTCAAGAATAAAATGCATCCTGCCTTTTCTACTAGGGTGAGTCTATACAGCATGAAATGAAAAATAGCCCAACTTGGTAATTACTTAGTTTTTCTTTCATTACCTAACATAGATTTTACTAGAAATGTTTGCTAACAGATTGAATTTGAAAGTGGCTGTAATCTATTTCTCTTTTAGTTGTTTATTCTTTCTTAACTATAAATCTCTTACCACAATGTAGATCTGAGATTTATGCCTCCTGGCCAGGTCAATAATGTTCACTCCATTATAATAAATATTTTCAAAACACCCATGAAAGTTCCTGCGTGATAATATCCCTGATTTTCCAGGCACTGGGATCCCTCCAAAGCTGAGCTTAGAAAGAGAAAAGAAATCAATAATACTATTAAGTAATTTTCTAAGGAAAGAAGTTGACTATACTGTAAGAGCAGAAGTCAAAGACTGGCCCTATAACGAATCTGCTACTTCTTGTGTATTTCACTGTATCACATCTGCATATTAAAAGAATAGGCTAACAAAAAATTAGGCTATATCAAGTTAGATGTATGTAGGAAATTATTTTGACATTTTGATTTTTAGGTTTTTTTATTCTTCTGATGTCTCTTTGCAGTGCCTTTAATCAGTTTTCAGGGTCCATTACAGCTGCAAAAGCAATGAGAAGAAGGAAAAGGCCAAGTACATGGAAACTAGGCAAAACAGTGTAAAAAGGGAGAAGAAAATTAGCAGCAATTTCTTTAAAAATTTGAGTCTAACTTCTCCATTCTGTGCACACCATAACTACCATAACAGATAACAAGAGTGCATCAAATTACATTATTCTAGGACAGATTCCAAACTAACTAAAGGAGGTACATTTTTCCTTTAAAAATGCCTAGGCTGTGCAGTTCCTTTGTATGGTGCTGTAAAATTACTTAGTTTCAGAAAGAGATTGGAAGATTTAATAAAAATAAAAACCCATTGAGAGCTACTAAATTCAAGAATATCATTCTGTCTAAATACGTCTCTGCCCTAAGGCAAAAGTTGCTAGAGAGCTGTAAATTATTGTAGAAAAGCATAGCCACAAGGGTGACCTTAGTTCTGCTCTAGTCTATGTTTCAACTGTTGGACACCATCAGAAATAGGATTCCAGTATAAGTGAACATTTGAGCTCACATATTTCAAAGCTATTCTGGACAACATTGTAAAAAAGGTCAGTCTAAACTATTAACATTTTAATTTTTAAATTTTATTCAATGTTTAAAATAATTTCACCCCAAAAAATCAACCAAAATAAAATTTATCATATTTCATTTTTATTAAATTAAGAAAAATTTATAGTCAGAAACGCAATTATAAACACAATAGTTCTTTTTTAATGTTTTTATGCTTTCTTTTTACTTGTATTAGCAACTATACTTCAAAGTACAGTATCTGGATGAGATGAAAATTTAATTTGCAATATTGACTGATATAGTAAAAGATACCTATTTGTCAACCAGTTATTTTCATTCTCATTTTTTTTTTTAATTAGTACTGTCCTCTGAACTTTGATACTATCATTTACATTCAGAAATTCTGGGCAGACATTTTTGAATTGGAGTAATGCAGACACAGAACAGCATGACATCTCACTCTAAAATGCTTAAAAATTGGAATGAGTACAATAAAGTCTGTGGGTTCCAGACATTCTGCTCTATCACTCATTTTCTTATCCAACAAACAGTATAGGGCAAACATAAAGCAGCCAGTCATCACATTACAACTGTGAAATAGTGGTATTTTTAACCACAGGCAGGAAAATTTCACAGCATATTACACCTACTATTTTTCATTAATCTACTATTTGTACAATCAAGATTTTTTCACAGTACAATTTTCAGATCTAGTAGGGATTTAAGGCTTGCTATAAAACATTTCTAAAATGGTTTTATGATGATATATTGCAATTTTCATCAAGTTTTATATTCATAACATTAATATTCATTAAATAATAGCATTGAGTTGGGTCTCATTCATTATGTTTACAATACTTTTTATCACATTTGCAGCTCTACTGAAACAAAGATATAAAAATAATGAATTCTGAGATGAAAAAGATGGTCTTTGAAAATACTGAGCTGATAGTCTAGTGGAAGATTTGTACTCCAAGAACAACTCTTTTTCTTTGATTAATTCCCTTAACAGACAGAAAATCCCCAATGTCTTAAGGACTACAGACTTCCTTAAGTTATTTTTTCTTTGCCTGTTTCAGTGCATTTGCATAACAAAGGTAATAAATGTAATAAAGGAAAGGTAATTTTCACACCTCATAATCAAGGTCCAAATAACTGAATTCTCCTTTTGCATGAAAATGATGAGTGTGTTTATCCACTGTAAAGTTTACTTGATTGTTAAAATGCTCAATGAGAACAGAATGCCAGTGTTGATCATCCAAAAGGCTGCCCAGCGTAATATTAACTTGGGCATTAGAAGGATGAGTTTTAGTATCACCTTGAAAGAAGAAAAATAAAAAACTATTAATTTCATTCAAAAATATAATTATTCAAAAATATACTGCTAGCTTATCATACTTTATACATTAAAATCTACTTAACAGTTTAAAGAGAAGTTTTAGTCAAATAATGCCAAATAACTATATTAGACTTTATGAGACTATAGCTGTTACCTAAATTAATCAGTAGGGACAGCTTCCCTTTAGTTAATTCCATGGTGATGTGGTCTCCATTTTGTCCTTCTCTGTGGAGGAGAATTCCATCACTTTGCATTGTCTTAAACTTCAGAGAAATCACATCTTTCAGTGCATTAATGAGTTTTTTATTAAATGTGTAAATTAGACAACTTTTCCCATCAAAGCCAACCACCTCAGACCCTAGAAGTAAAGAAATGAAAGATAATGTATAATGCTATGTCTAAAAGAAACAGTTGCATGTTACTTCAATATGGTATGAAGTTCCATCACTAACATCTCTAGATCCACTTGTGCACTGTAAATTGCACTTTATTCTTCCCCGTATATTAGGACTGCTGTGCTTTAACGATGATGGAATAACTAGATAATAAAACCATGTGAGAATAGATCTGGCTTCAAAGGTAAAAGGTAGGTCTTCCTTTCCTTGGAACTATAAAGTACTTTCACCATTTCTGTTTTTACTTGTATTCTTAGGCGAAAAAATCTCTATTAATTTATTCACAATTCATTCCAATGAACAAAATCAAGATAAAAAAAAAAAAACAACCAAAAACAAGGCTGCTGTTGACCTTCGGGAAGGGAACAGGGCTAAATGATTTTGTATCAATAATAAAAAAGAATATCCATCAAAATCAGTAGAGATTGAACAAGACGCACACACACACACACACAAAGGAACTGATAACATTATAGAAAGCTTCTAGAGTATTCACAGTTCATATGTAATGAAGAAAAAGGTTATCCTTGAAAAATACACTTCTGAAGTGAATGAAGATGTAAAGGACACTCAATAAAATATAATGTTGTTTTTCATATGACTGGTTAACTTCTTGCAAGTCAAGGGAAACTCATTATCTATTTACTAACTTTATGTAATTTCACTAAAATATTTCTCCATATGGTCAGCATGGAAATGAAATTAATTCAAATTCACTCTTACACTTTAGTTCAGTAATTTATATTCCATTTTCAAAAAGCTCTTGTGAAGTCAATGCCGTTGTATTTTTAAATATAATTTCTTGATTTTCTTTATATCTTGATAATGAAGAAATCATTTATCAAAAGTACAATGAATAAATATGACATTCTACCTAAGTATGAATCATAGATTAACTATTTTACTTCATTTTGTCATTGAATGAATGTGGACAGCAAAACTGTGAATTAATGTTGAATTAAAATAATGAATGTGATGTAGAATAGCTTCAATAAAAACTTCAATAAGACCACTTGTACATTTATATACATCTACCAAACCAGCTAACTAGAGATATTCTTAGTAGGCAATAACTGTAGGATTGGGAACACACTCCTCTTATTAGTTACCGGGACAAGAACATAAAAAACATGGCCCTCCAAAATCTCTTACACTATTCTGCAGCACTAGCTCCTAAGAAGCAAAATCTTCTATGTCTAAATTTTAAAAATAAACAAAATTAAATTTTGTCCCTGCCCTCACCCCATGAATTAATGAAGATTGTGAAAGGGTTGCAGATGGCAATCAAATTTCTTATAACATTTCTCACACAGGTCTTGTCTTCACCATCCATGCATTACCCCTAGAAATATATTTAAAGGGTTGCAAGAAAGACAGCTTGGGTGTCCTGCAGGGTTGTAAGGATAAATAGGCTCTGGGCACATATCCAGGGTAGCATAAGATTTTCCTCACTTATTTACCAACTACTTGCCACTTCTAGTAGCTGCTGGACTTCAAAATCACTCTACATGGATTTTCTCTACTGTTGTAAAAAGGAAAAAGAAACAAACAGGTGAACTTGTTTTATGAGCACTCATCTTTTGTTTCCACAATTTGCAACATGTCTTCCTTAAATTAATGTGACGTAAATTCTTAGTACACTGTGAAAATATCTTTGAAAATCACTAAATGCCCCTGAGAAACTGGAAATTCTGGAAGCCTCACATACCACAGGACCAAGAATCCTAGTGATCCTGAGCAAAAGTTTTAGCTGAAATATCTTTGAATTTTTTTTAAAATCTTTATATCAATTGAAATCAATGCTCGTGTTCTATAAAGGAAAAAAAAACAAAAACAAAAAAGAACTTAAACCAATGCAAACCAACAGGCCATTATTCCAGTTATGAAGAGGATATGAAGTCTTTTTTGGACTGATGTAACTGTGATGTTGACTTTAAACATTTCAGCCTGGAAGGAAATCCTGTAATAGCCTCAATAAAGTTAGAACTGATAGAGAACAGTGCAAAAGGGTTTGTGCAGTATCTGCAGTGCTTACTGTTAGGTATCATAACATACATATCTAACAATTTGCAACGTACATTATATATTTATTTTCCAGTTCTACAATTTAATATATTTTTAATTTTCATATTTAAACCTTGCTTTCTGCCCACCATGTCAAAAAAATCCCTACATTTTTGTTTCTTTGTTTTGTATTTTTCAGACTACTGGTTTTCAGAAGATGAAATAAGAGAGTATTGTAAAGAAGAGTGGAAATTTTAAGCTTAACACATTTCTAAGATCTCTTTTTTTTAGTGTCATGACAAAGCTTAACCTGAACTGTGTTTTACATGGCTTAATTGTCAAAATGTGGCATTTCAGGAACAAGATGCAGGAAATGTCAGTAGTGATTCATTGTTCTCTTTTGTACACACTAAATAGAAAGAACTATCAGGCAGAGGCTTCCGACAGATTTTGGACTGAGGTTCAGCATAGAGTATTTGCAGTGTAGTCAAGGCACAAGCAGATGTTTTATCAGTTCACATAAAGGCAGGTCAAACACCTTGAGGTAGAAAACCGACCCTCCCTTCCTCCCTCCCCGCTTCCCTCCCTGCCTCCCTGTCTGCCTCCCTTGCCTGCCTTCCTGCCTGCCTGCCTGCCTCATTCCTTCCTCCCTCTCGTCCCCCCTCCTTCCCTCCTCCTTCCCTCCCACCTTCCTTTCCTCCCTTCCATTTTTTTAAATGAATATAGAACATGAGTGAAAAAAACAAGAAACATTGCAGACAGCAGAGTGAGGAGGGAGAACTCAATGGAAAAAAAAAAAAACTGCAGGGGAACTCTTCTAACATTTCCTGTAACTGACTACCCTTATTTGGCCCTTCTACTCCATAAATGCTGAGGCAAAAATGGAAGGACTTGCCTGGATGCATATTTTACAGACATCTAAATGTGACAGTCCTTGATTACACAGTGTATAGGAGAAAAGGAGTTGCATGTAAAAAAATTTAAAAAAAAATTAAAAAAAAAAAAAAAAGGAAAACAAAACCCACAATAATCTGCTACATCCTACAGGAAAATGTCATGAGTATTACCAAGCCTCACTGAGGCTGTAATTAAAGGGGAAGCAATATTTTTGAGAATACTAGGCAAAGTTATTCAGAGTAGGCATTTGACTGGAAACAGATTTTGAAATACTGTCAAAATTTGCCCTGCAAGTATGACTTCACTGAGATGGTAATGACTTCTTTAGGACATAGAGACATGCATTTCTTCACATCACTTTATGGAGTAGAAAGATCTACTCCCTGTATTCTGTATTCTTGGAAGTTTAGTTCTAGTTGTGTAAAGACTGAAGAATGAAATTAGTGCGCTTGAATACAGAACAGAGTTCACATACTTGATGGTAAATGAAAAGAGAGTTTACCCTTAAAATCTAATACCCAGTGAGAGCTCCCTGAAGGAAACGATGAGAAAATGGGACATGTAGAACATGTGACTCAAAGCTAAAGTAGATATTATTGGCATTTCTGCTTTTCTTTTATTCTGGTCCTGCTTTAAGAAGTACACAGTCATTCAAAAAGAGCCAGGCATAAATACTGTAATAATAACTACATGTCCTCATTGTGTCTGATAAATAGACAAAAATATTTGAGAGAAAGAATTAAACTTTTGTATTTTTAAATATTTTTAAAAACTATAAATCTATAATCACCTGGTTTGTCTTCAATGGCAATCACTGAATTTAGCTAGTAGAAGCACTTGGTAACCAGTAGATGTTCAAAATAAATACAGAGATAAGAGGCCTGCAATTCATTTGGAATGATAGTATTTATAGGATAGGGAAAATAAGCATTTCTACAACACCCAATATCACTAATTCACAAAAAATCTTAACCAGCTTAAAAAAAAATTACATTTTTTTTTTTACAACGTCTTGTTTTTCACATGCTGCATTATAGTAAATAATGGATGAAGTAGATAATCCTTTTAATTTCATCCTCATCTTAGAGGACAACTATAGATTATTTACTTCCATAAGCTATCTATAGGATAAATTTTGTACCCGGTATGTAAAATGCAAAAAAAATATAATATAATCTTCGTCAAAAACAGTTAATGGCTACACAAAAATATTTTAATTTCATAGCTGTTTATTCTAAATGTTTTCTTATTTCATTTGCATGGATATTTTCTTTATTTATTCTTCAGACTCATAGAGTTTTCCACTGCTGGGCAATAGGCATGACACAGAACACAGACATAATATGAATCTTGCAAGTTGTGACAGAGAAAATTATGATAGTGAATGTAAATAATTAAAATCTGGATTTTAAGAGCAAAACTGAGCAAGGATTTAAATATTATCACATGCTCAAGGCAAAGAACAGTGAAGAAGCAAAGTTGGTGACTATCAATGAATTTTAAAATTAAGCTTAAAGAGAAAAAAGACCATTGTCCCATCATGTAGACAGAAATCAGGCCTCAAATGGAAGACTCAGATGAGATTTTAGCTGGGAATGAAAAATTTATCTGTTCAGTCTCCATCTTTAAACTTTGGCTGTTCTGGTACTTAAAAGAGTTGAGGGTAAGTTGAATCATGGTAATATTTCTCATTTAGTCAAGTTTTCAAGGTCATTTTCTCAGATTGCTCTAGGAATCATAAATCATGTTCCCAGTCTCAAGGCAGCTGTCACTGAGGAATTTTGTGTGAGCCTTTCAGGCCCTTCTCCTGGCATGAGACGTCTGTTTTCTGGGATGGGGAAGTTTACCTGATTTCTCAGGTGCTTTAATCTCTTACATCCAGGTTTAAATTTTCAATATCCTTAGTTCATTACCTTTACCAATGTTACAAAGTCAAGTTTAAGACAGAAAGCCCAGAGATATGTTTCCCTGATATACACTTTAAGTCAGATACAAATGCACGGCAATAGAAAACAGATATTTGGAGACCACCCAAAAGAGATTAACCATACAAAGTATGGAAGTTGAAAAAAACCCAAAACAAGAAACAGATCAAAGTATGCACAAAAAACAATTAAAGAAGTTGCTTAAAATAAATTCTGTTTAAGATGTGAAGAATAAAAAGCAGGAAAAATCTTACTGAGAGGATTTTTTTTATAAAAAAATATCCAGGGATGAGAAACTGTATCAGGAAGATGTCAGGAATATTTACACTGTCCAGCAGATCAATAAAACCACAACACTTACACAATCTACTTCCAAAGGCTTATGTCAGTTATTAAGGGCACAAAAGCTATTCTAAAAGTATCCCTTAAATACATAAAAACTTCAAAGTGTCCTTCAATTTTTTATTTGCAGATGCATCTAGTTGTACTCTTACTGGCTCAGGATCAAGACCACATAGATTTAAAACTGTAAACATTTCCCATATTTTGGCCTTCAGATAGATAGAAAGTATACCACGTTAAGATGCAATTTTTAGGACTACGGGAAAAAAAAAAAAAGAGTTTGCATTAAATCAGTTATTGGATTATGTCCACACCATTCATTCCAATACAGAAAGGACTGGAAAATAAGCACCACATATTGATAGTTGATGTAGAAATAGTGAAGTATGAACATAAACTTATTAAATCAGTTTTATTTGAGATTAAATTTCATCTTAGAAATCTACTTTCAAATGCTATTTAGGTAGGAAAAGACATTGATGAAGATTCATTTCATTTAGCTGACTCAGAAATAAACTTACTATATGTGCATCCATACACTTCAATGCGCATTCCAATCCTGCCATTTGGATTCCAGTCCAAAGGTATGAAACGGAGAAATCTTGCTTTAATAGAATGCTGAAGCTTATAGTACACGACACTGTCTGCATTTGTGTTTCCAGAAAAGGCCTAGAGAAAACCAAAAAGAAATCAGCCACATCCATATTGAATACAGAAATATATGGAAGCATACACAGTGATCCAAAAGATCAGTATCTTTTCATTTTATATATTTTATTTCTATTTCATCTGGCAAATAGTCAAGCACAGGAATAAAATGCAATTGTGAGTGAATTTCATCGGAATATCTGATGAATCAGTCTTGACTATTCTTTTGGACAAGGTGTTAACTCATCTGTGTATTTAGTGCTTTTGCTCCACTCAGCACAGTATTTAACAACTTCTAAAATTTCAGTGAACAAACCCTGCAAACACAAACATTCCTGTCAAAAAACATGTAGAATATCCTCACATTTCATGGCTCTGTATAACACTTTAGCATAAGAAAACAGAGTGATGTCTACAAATTCCTTCTACTGAAAGGTTAAATGGATTTCATTTAACCTTAGCAAGCCTGTTTCAAATGCATAATATGCTGTATTTAAAATAGTCTTATACTGACAGATCATGGTAATAAAAGACTTTTTTCCAACTAAAGAATCCAAATTATTGTAAAAGAAATGTGTTTCACTGTCCTGTTAAAAAAAGGAAAATTTTTATTTCAGTTTTTACCAAGGTGAAAGAAGTAAACTTTTTTTGCAGTATTTAACTGATAAAATTACTTTCCCTTTTTCTTACATAAAGAAAACAAAAAGACAAAGAAATGTAAAGAAGAAAGTTTTAAAAAAGAGTTGTAATAATAAACTTTAGCATACTAAAAACTGGAGAATATATTCTGATTTCTCTGGGTTGTGTGGTGCTTTTTTGTCATTACATGTTTATGGTATGTGAAGCAGAAAGAATTTGTTCAGACATTTTGAATCCAAATATCTGACAGCTCTCTGAAATATTTAGATGAGCAGTATTTAAAAGATTACACATTTCTGGCTGTATGAACAGTGCTGTTACCATAGCTATAAGCCACAGATGTTGCAACTGGAGAACTACATAGCAACCAACATCTTTAGGTATGTAGCTTTTCTCTCCATAAGTTTTAGAAACAGAGATGAGCTTCCGTTTATTTATTCACTCATTGTTTATCTTTCTCTACACAGATCTTTGCACCTTCTCTCTTCTGTACCAGTAAAATTTCAATAAATTCTAATCTCTGAATTTTCAAAGGGGAAAAAAAAAAAATAGAAAGTCCCCAACCAAACCAACTAACCAATTGAAATAAAAACCAGATCATTTAGTGACTTGGCTTGTTGAAGCTAATCTGTTAGGCTAGCAATAAGCAATGAGAGCTAGTGACTTTGAATGTCCACTTTCAACTCCATGCATTGTAATTCCACTAACTCAGCATGTAAAGGTTGAAATATATTATAACAAAAATCAGAGGTGACCTACTATTTGGAGGGTGAGACCCTTCCAGACCTCTTGTCCCTTCAAATCCAAATTGTAGTCTGAAACAAATATAACTGTCCATGAAAGTGCCAATTAGTTTGTTGACTGAACCAGAACCACGCCCCAGAAGTTTAAGTATTGTGAGCAAATGAAGTGTTCAGTTAGGATTTAAATTTTTGCAAAATTGTTTTTGGACAGCAGCCACCTCATAAAAATTCATTTTAGTTTTGTAAACAGGGTGTATATGGCTTGATTTTTGTATTTTTTTTAATGTAGGGTATATTTAAACCGCATTGTCTTAATTTAAAATTTGGGTTCTGGCTTCAACAATAACCTGAAAGTACTTCAGACTACTCCTTTAACACCATTCAGAATGGCCAGTTTAGAAACCAGTATTTTTTTGCAGTAATTTTACAAAGCTTTTATCTGGGACAAACACATTTTAGAATGTATCAATTGTGTTGAGTATTAAATAGGTTTTTATTGCTTTTTTAAACAGTCTAAAGGTTAAAATACATATTTTGTGATTTTTTCAGTCTAAATCCTCTTCAAAAAAAGAAAGGACTAAATCAGACTGCTTTTTCTCCAGACTACAGTACTAAAGCAGTACCTAAAACCTATGGAAGCAGTCTGTAAGCTTCTTAGAGGAGAATTATATTCAACATGACAAAACAGTCCAGTCTTTACAGTAGAACACAATTACTGTTTCATGGTCCAACCCAGAAAACATAGAATTATAACCATATAATGAGCTTCTTTCTTCCTATCCCCCTTCTTCAGACTGTTCAGATCACTTCATTCTTATGCCAAATCATGTATAGGGAACATGCAATTACTTTTGATTATGCAGAGTCCTCACAACCTACGCAGACATCTAATGGTTAAAAAGATGGCAGGTGGCCCTCAGTTAATAGGAATAACAGACCTAATAATTGCACCTAATAAACACTGTTTGCATCAATATTAATAGGGTTATACACTTAATGCAATATTACTGCTTGTTGAATCTTAGTTTGTGCATTTACAGGCACTATATTATACTGGGTTTTTTTAATAGCTTGAAAGCATATCATCTTCCTCAAAGAATGCAGTTTTTGAAACACTGAAATACTATATTGCAGTAACAGGGTCACTTAGCAGCATAGATATCTAACGAGGTAACTCTCTGCACCATATTTTATTCCATGAAGTAAAAGTATTGGTCTGAACTGAGAGCCTGAACTGTTCTCAAACTTTAAGTTTGAGATGGTTTAACCATCCTACTCTATTTCTAACCCAGTAATTTCCTAATCTAAAGCTGCTTTAACCCTGCTTTGAAAACAGAATTATTCAGTGTATTATGGTGTCAGAAATAACAGATGCACTCTGGACTGCACTGGTAAAGCTAAGTATTGTCCACAGAAGGGCACTGGCAAGCTCAGAATGTTTGTGAAGGTAGGCTTGCATCAAGACAAATTTTAAAAAATGTCCTTGGTTTCTCTGTCCATCCTCTACGTAGAAAGCACACGTGAGCATTGACCAGGGATAATACAAGCATCCTGCTCAAAACTTTCTCACAATCCAAAATTCCCCCAGAAATGAAACTGTGTAGGACCCGTACTTCAGATAACCTAAAGGACATGGTACTTATTTACTAATATAACTTTTACTATATATATACATATATATATGTATACTATTTATACACTATAAAACAGAATACTAAATAATATGCCCAAACCTTTACATATGTTGTATACCCACTGCAGTAAATATATTTATTAAAAATATTACAAATATAAATATAAATATAAATATAAATATAAATATAAATATAAATATATATAACTATACTTAGCTGCAAGTCCCCATTCAGTGTTTAACGACAAGTACTGGAGCAGGACCAAACCTGAATAGTTTTGTAAGAAGAAAAACTGCAGTACTAGTGTACCTCTGGATGGGTCTAACTTCATCATGTGGTTTATGAATTCTATTACCAACACCAGAAAAAGCAGTTGAACAAAACAGCGTGAAGTAATGTGGAACTGTTTGTACAAGCTACTGCATAAAAATCACACTTCCAGATAAATACTTCTCCCATTTCCACCCAATACTTCTAAGTTACATCGAAGTTCATTTAGCAGTTTAAACTATTTACATCTCAGTAAAAAAATAACTTAGTACACAGTACAAGTACACGTCAACTGACATGTTTTCTGAACATGAATTCAAACACTCAGACTCATCCTTCTCATCCTATTACCACTGTGGTGAGTTATTGTTAGCCTATTGAAGTTGCTCCTGAAAGTCAACAGGTTTGAAGTTCAGTTAAAGTGAAAAAATGTGAAAGTCCTTCACCCTTACCAGAGAATACTCTACCTTTCCTAGATGCCCACATTGCAATTATAGCCAGGAAAAAATGATCATAGAGGTTCAATTAATAGATTTTTAAGACTTTATAGGTTATAAACAATAAAAGCATGCTGATATGTTTCATATGAAATACTAACTATGGCCTTATAGTGAGAAGCCCTGTGCCATAAGTTATTCACTGTATTTTTCACTAGATCTCTCTGAGCTGTTTGAAGATACAGTTGAAATATACTTGTGTTACCTTAAATTGATCAAAACACACAGCAGTTATACATACTCACAAATCTGTGTTCATGAAGTGTTCATAATGTCTTTCGTTAGAAAAGGACAGCACATGATAATGACAACGTGATTAATACAGACCAGATAAACAGAAAAAAAACCAAAACAACTTGTCAGAAAACCATATAAATTGTTGTTCCAGTCAATGTTCACTGCTTGTAACACCTAAATCCCCACTACTGCACTAGTGTACTTACAGCTTTCCATCACTGTCACTCAGAGACAGGATAGTGGGTAAATTGCATCAATATTCTTTCAGTATATTTCTTTCTCCTATTTCTTTATATTTGGTGTTTTAGTCACCGTCATGGCTCTTCCCCTTTTTTTTCTTTTACACTGTGTGAGTACTTTATATAAAAGAACAGCTCCAGAATTAAGGGACAAAAAGAGGATGAGACCACACTTGCCAATTAATTTGTCAAAGGTAACACCTGATATTTGTAAATGGACTCTAGATATTCCTTCTGCCTTTCTGTTTTGTTTGGGGTTTATTTTGGGGGGTTCTTTTCTTTTTTTCTGTTTTCCGTTGAGGATTTTGTTCTTTTTGAGAAAAAATTGAAAAAATTGCTTTCATATTAATATAGAAGAGGAAAATTTCAATATCTTAAATTAAGCTAATGGAAAAAGGTTGTGGTTTTTTGGTTTTTTTTTTCATGTTACAGTAGTAGTAGTTGGATATAGCATTGAGGGGTGCATAAAAATGTATGAATCTAGGGCCCATGAACAGTTACTGTCAAAAGAGGTTTATCAACACCTAGACATGCTCATTTGAAACTGTGCTTAATATCAGGTGTTTTCTGTCTATCTTTCTTTTTCCTTTCATGTTCAATATAGCTGAAATAAAAAGGTAGTTAATTTTCCAGATGATGTGGTATGGGGACTAATAAATTAAAAAAAAAAAATCTTGTTGTAAACCACCAAAGGTATTTTGAATTCTCCCATCTACCTTATTTCCTTTCATTCATTCAGATGTAGTAAAAAATTCTATGTGA